GCAGGATCATGTACAACAAACCAGCCATACAACTAATTTAAATCAACATTGGGTCACATCAGCATAATTATCGGTACATAGCTGGGTTATATGACAACTCTCAATGGCGGTGGTGGCCCGGTGGCAACGTCACCAAATTACCACCCCGGGAATGTGTGTTCGAATCCCACCACCACTGTCTAACTTTTTTCGTCATGTGTGTTGAATAGTAGCCCTTTGATTGGCCGCCTTTCCCTTCCTGAAAATTGCAACTTTGCGTATTTGATAAAAGGAAGTAAAATGAAACACGAAGTGAAGCTACGTATCGATAAACTTCAGGACTGAATCGCTGAGATTTGAGATTTTGAGAAGAATAGTGCTCGAGTAACGTTGCATGCCTTTTATGCTGCTTTCCGACCCTATTAGACCATGTGTGCGAAAGCCAAAACGGAATGGGTAAGGTCATTAGAGCGTTTACTTGCCGAGAGCAACACGGTCACTTAAGTAGAGGGCTGAAAGCAAATCTAACGCTGACGAATAGTAAACGTTACTTTTTCACCTAAAGTACACATTGTACGTCACTCGGGTGAAACAAAACTTTCACTCATTCTGATCTCATTTGTTATCTTCAGTCGTGAGTAATTGTAACCCGTAACATTTTATAAGATCGAGAGATCTACCAAGAGTTGGTTTAGGAATCACATATACATTTACTACTGGAATATAAAACATTGTGAAGATTCTCGTATTTGTGCCCAACCGAGTGTAGTGTTGAAGCAGTCATACGGTCAAGTTGTTGGCTGCCACCGTTGTCTACGTCGCATTGCATGAGTCTGGTGAGGAAGCCGGACAAGTAATGCTGAGATTAGGTGCAGAGTTTTAGGTAATCCTGGTGGTCCACTGAAGCAAGTGGTCGACCTCCATAGATTGGTTGGGGCATGTACTGCGTATGTAACCAAATAGGTTGCCACGGCGCGTGCGGTTTAGTGAGGCAGGTGTTGGTTAGACAAAAATCAAGGGTGGTGAAACTCAAACCTAGCATGAGGGTGTGAAAACCCAGGTCAGGAGGATTGCTCACATAGACCGCGTTAGCCTTCCTGTAAGGGGACATCTGGATCATTATAATCAAAGGCGAGAGACACTGAGCGATATGGCTGAATATCGCAAACAATGGCGCTCGTGCATCTGTTCGGTTCTTTGTAAACTTAGACATGAATTCATGAGTTCTCTATTTTTAATCTAACACTGATTCGAACATTTCAATCTTACCCTCAATCCTTCATCCAAATGGGAAGTTATGAGACAGCAACCAAAACCGCCGCAAGAAAGTGAATGATTGTAAAAACTAAAAAACAGAAAAACTGGCAGCCAATGGTGCACCTCGAAGGTAAGGAATTCGACGTTTGACCCAAAAGTTGACAGATAGTCTCGGCAGGAATATAAAACTTTCAAAGACAATATGTTTATCCTACACACAATCATTCATTGCAAAATTCTACCGTTAAAGTACAACATAGGAGTACGGAGTGGACTGAACTACTGTTGGTGACGCACAGATGGTAGACTTGTTGGAGGATCGAAGCTCACGCAGTAGACTAGTGACCGTAAACAATGGATGGGTATTAGAGAAGCAACCCGTTTTCGTTTAATTCTGAGACAGCTATGAACTGGCTATTTTCAAGTCTTTTTATTGCACACCTCAGTATGAGCCAAGCCCTATAGTGGCACGAGAATTCACCTAAGAATTTAAATGTCTCCACGTACGAGGAAGGTACCTCAAATTGGTCAATACAAGAGGATTCATCGTTCAGTCATGAGAACTGGCAACCTAATCACCTACGAGTCGCGTTTTGACTCACAAATTCCCGATCGGATAGCTATGGTACTGAGTCAAGAGAAAATGAAGCCCCTCGCCATCATTTTGCAAAAATCTGCAAAAATTGGAGCATATTTCGTCTACCCACCTGGACCGGCGTGGAACTGCTCGAATTAACTATCGGGCTAGTATGAATTTTGTCCACATCTGCAACAGGACTGGTTGCGGATGATGTTGGAGGCGGTGTAGCCAGAGCGACCATCGCATCAAGTGCATTCTGTTCCATGCGTTGAAAAATGATGCTGATAATCTGAGTCAACGTAGCACGTGCTGTAGCTTGGTTCACAGGATTTTTTGTCGCCATATAGATGTTGTAGCAGGTACGCACAGCTAGTAATATGTCCGCCTCGTGAATTTCGACCACAGAACTGGTAACAACCGTCAGCAGAGCTTTGAGAACTTGCAACTGCACACCGTCGTCTGTATGTACACCCTGTGGAAGAAAAATTGGTTAGCAGAGTTGAGATAGACGCCATTAAACAAGAGAACAGAGAACAACACTAGGAAGTACTTCATAACAGAGCAATCATATAATAAAGCGAAACAGATAACCAGGACTCCTTTATAACTGAAATTCCCTGGCTGGGGATACCAGAAAGCAAAGGAGGGTAAATGACAACTAGTTTACTCAACAATNCAACAATTTCGGCTGAAAACCTGTTCTAGTCACTTAGATAGCTCTCCTTTGTTTTAATTTGGTTCCACGTTTACAGCATAATAAATAGGAATTTAGGATGTCAGACAGTATAAAAAAGCCAAGTGTTTCAGTCTGCACAACCACTCAACTTGCCCTATCGTGAGGGGGGTTCGGTTTGTTTTTTGTTGTCCAATTGGGAAGTAGAGGTATTGGGTGGTCAAACATGGTCAAAGGCAAGAGGAAACTAATCAGCTGAAATTGTGAGAATGAACATTGTTTGACCTTTGGAGCATGAGTAGATCTGCATCTGAGATACCATCATGTATATCTCGCAGGGTCAAACAGACACGGCAGCCGTTACATCACTCCAAGGTGTTGTCCCATCGTGACGGCTTCAATTCCCTAGATAACCCCTTAGGATAAAACACTAAAAAAATAATCAGTTTTACGCAACAACCTAATCCGGAATGCATACGATCGAGTCAAAAATCACCAATGACAGTGGTAAAATGAGCAAGGACCAGTAAGTCACAAGAATTGAACAAGGATAGGTTGTATTATATCGCGTCTAAGCCAAATAAAACAGTGTCCCGCTGTTTAACAGTTAAGCGGGTAGTATACTGATGTGACAAATGCAAAAAAACCAGGTTTGACTCTCATTGGCGCTGGTCGATTCTCGGTGCTGAAGATACAAATTGCCGGTAAAACAGTTGCACAGTACTCTTGGCTTTTAAGTTAACATCTTAGTTCTGTGCACGAACAATACTCTACTTTTCTGCATGCGCTCCGTCTCAACTGATCTTTATAGAGCAGAAACCTATTTAATTGCATGGTAAATTGACATTTCTCGCTTTTCCTTTACTATTTGTAAACAAAGTCCTTGTACCAAATTATAATAAACCATGTAAAACGAAATAATAGTAATACTGGAAGTAACACAACTTTCATTATTGGGTTAGTCTACGTATGTTAAAAATGTTCAGACTCACCTGAAAACACGAACAAATTGTAGTGACGATTTGTTCTATCAACCGCACCTTTCCGGACGAACCAACTGCTTCATTGGGTACATGACCATAGGCAATTAACTTTTGTAATGTGTCTACTGCTGTAGTCACAATTTTTGGTGACTTCATACTGCACGCTAGTTGCAGCGGTTTCAGGAGTTTCTCATCAGCCAGCAACATCCCGCTGTCTGACCTCAGGGGAGGTAGATGATCACTGGTTTTCTCATCCGCCACAGATCCGGATGTTTGGTTGCTTGAAGACGTGGGAGTTCTAAGCTTTTCCAGTGCTTCTTCGCATGCCTTGCGAAGTGCTGCATTTTGTGATTTGCGAGTCTCACGTTCGGCGGCTATCTTCTCAATAGCCTTTATCAGAAACATGGAGAAAGCCTGAACAGAAACAGAAAGTTGCGGTTGGCGATGAGGATCAGAGGACGAATGTTCTTGTTTAATTTGCGAGAGAGGCAGTGCAGTTCCGTTGGATAAAACCGGGGTCGGTTTAGCTGCGGTGCCTTGATTTTCAGTTGATTCGGGAGGTGGACTACTGACGTGATCGATGCTTGTGGTCGTAGGCATGTCATGAACAGATTGACGGTACGGTATATTTCATGATACAACTGAGATGAAGGGATAGTAGTGAAATTATGCACTCTGGATTGGGTTGAAATGTACAGGGTCCCAGATCATTTTTGTTTGAA